ATTTTGGAAATCCGGAAAGTTAGGGGCGAGAATATTGGAAATTTTGGAATTGAGTTTGTGAGGGCTGATCGCCACCCATCCGATGACACACCATGCACATCTACTCAGTTGAGAGGGCATGGTCTGTCAACGGGGGGGGGCGACCATATATATATATCTCTCTCTCTCTCTCCCCATACTCACGGTGCCGCCAAGCTGCCCTGGCAGTAGCTATCCATGTAATTCAGCATCTCCTATCAATGAGCAGCCCCGACATGCCAAACGTGAATAGCAGAATCCCTCTAATACCTCTAACAAGCTGACCCCCATCGGCTGCCGTGCACGAAACTTGCTGGAGTTGCCTGCAGTTCGATCCAAGTCCGAATGGCTTGTCTCGTGGCACCATTCTTTTGCCGAGAAGTTGGCTTTAGTTTGGTGTGCTTCTTGGCTTTCCAGAGATTGGCAACGTCGGAAGTGGGGGAGCGCTGGACGGTGGGAACTGGGATGGGGAGCTCGACAAAAACAAAGCAGCAGGGTAGGGCAATTGGCAAGCAGGTCCGCGGAAGATGCTGAGGGCATTAAAATGAAGGAACCACATTGACCAGAGCGGTTCTGAACAAAGGCTGAAGTCCTCCTTTGTTTGGGGAGTCGGAGGCTGCATGAGGCTGGGCTGTGACACGGCCAGTCTGGGCCGTCCCCGAAAGAGTGCATCAGGGGCTCTGCAGGTGCCCTCTCGGCATGCATACAGCACCTCGAAGCTCAAGCAACGCGTGGTCTGGATTTCCTACGTTGTTGGCTCTGGGCGATCGCGTGGCTACTAGTACCACCACACTATACAGCCGACCCCGCGGCTCCGACGGAACCACAAAGTACTGACATCAGATCCCGAGGATGCAATCTTGCTAGCGCAATGGTCAAAGCCCCGTTCCTGCAGGTACTGCAATCCGCCGCAGCAACAAGGAGGACTTTCAGGAGAAAGCGCTGCGAGCTCGACTTGAGCGTGACCTTTCTGCACCTCGCGGAGGTCTGCACAATAGCTTTGTCTCGCTGCTGTGGCATTCAATGTGATGCCTCGGATGCAGATCTTCTGGCTCCAGCAAGATCTGCGAAAGGCAATAAGCCGTTGGAGTGGCAATCGACATTGCCATGGGCCTTGGTTCATCTGAACTCATTAACTCCACAACAGCTTGTCGACTTTGGATCTACTGCAGCCTTTCAATCAAAGCAAGCACGTTAGGTTGCCACAACGACTGAGGATCCTGCATCTTGCGACACCTCAATCCACATAAGACTCGAGTACAGCACGGCGCATGATCTGATATGCCAAGCTCTAGGGAAGCTGCACTGGAGTTGGAAGACTCCCCACTTTCGCCAGCTTCGCTCATAGCTGGTGAGGCGGTGCCTCAACGAACAGAGGGCAACTTAGCGAATCGGCACGATGCCGCTGCACCACTGCAGTCACTATTTCTGCCAAGCAGCTTATTACTGACTCACTGAGGTATCCGAAGTCAACGTGCCTTTCGCCCTCCTCCCAGAAGCCGAGTTTTGGTTCGTCTTTATGTGTGGAACAACTGCGCTGCACGAAGACTCCTTGGCCACATCCTCCTTCTTGCAATCCGCTTGTGTCCGCATGGAGGCAAGGCCTTCCTCGAGTGCCATGCCACTCGAAGCTAAATCTAAGACTCTAGTGTCCAACTCGCCCCCAGGCAGCACTCAGGATCCCTTCTCCGCTTCAGGGGTTGATGCCACTAAATGCGCGACACTGCCCGACTCTGCTCTTCTTCCGAGGAGGAGTTGCGATTGTGGACTTTGACCATATCAGCCCGGGATCTTTCACGTCTGCATCGCAGCCCTTCCTGAGATATGTGCCATGTGCCGGAAGACTGCACTTCTCAGGTTGTTGTGCGCTCTATAATTTCGCCAGACTTGTTGCAGACGGGAATCGGCGATGCTGGATTCCTCTCCTTCTCCACCGCATGGTGCTCGATTCCTTTCGATTCAGGTGTTCACGAGCCAGCATTTACCCCCGGGCACAGATGCATCTTGAAGTTTACAAGCTCAATTATTCAAGCATCGATCGTTTGCAGCTGTTCCCACAGCCATCGCTCTGAGGGAGAGTAAATGTGAGTGTAAGTCTGTCGTGGTTCGCATTCCCGGGCCGTGCAACAACAACACCACAGGACGATGGCAACGTCTACATAAGCGGGTAGAGATTGGTTGTAAGTTGTGACTATCCCTGGAATGTCTTAGGAGGCTGGATGTTGTCCGAGTGGTTGGATGCCAGCATTTCTTTTGCATGCATCGAAGGCTATCTTGCTCCACAAGCTGCCAACGGACAGCCAACTCGCAACTGCAAAGGATCGGATCGTCATCACAGCTTTCGACACAGACACCCTGCCACACGAACACCGAGTATGCTCAGAACATGCACAACTTAGAGATCCATGCAAAAAGTGGCGCAACAAGCGAGGAGAAGTGCAAGCGCGGCGCACTTCTTCTTTGGTCCGGCGGGGGCGGGCCCCTGAGCATGGAAGTTGATCCTCCTCCGCTCCTCCCACGATTCTCGTCGCAAGGGTGCCTTCGGCAGCCCCTACCTCGCACGTGGCCTGGAGGTCTGGCTGCGGCCTTTTCGGAAGCCGCAGCCGGAGGTCCAGCCACCAAATGCCGCCAACAAGCCAGAGCTGATGTCATCTTAAGAGATAGAAGGGCACTTCTAAATAAAGCGGCTGGCTGCCGGGCTTGCCGTTCGTGGGCTGGATGCAGCAGTTCGTGGAGTCGTCCCGGGCGTGTGCAGCTTTGCAGTGGGTGCAGCCAGCCTGGGCACGCTGGCACTGGGTGCACTGGACTCCGTCTCCTCCGAGTCCTCGGACTCCCTCTCCGTCTCGCCTCCAAAGACACTGAAGCCGTAGGATTGCGGCGCTGACGGTGGCGGCCGCTGAACCGGCTGTGCCAGCTGCCCTGGCTGCCCTGGCTGCCCTGGCCTGGAGGAGGGGCGTTGTTGGAGCGCTTGCCTCAGGCTCGTCTGGTTGGTCTCAACTTGGCGCTGCAAGTTGGCCACATTTGCGCCCTCCTCTCCGAGAATCGCTTCAACAGCCTTTTGCTGGTTGCGCAGAGCCAGCTGAAGCTGCTGGATCGCTTGCTTCTGAGACTCGATGATTGTCTCGTTTCTCGTTCTGATGATTGATGCCTGCTCCAGCTTATCACTTAAGACATCAATGTCCATGGTCAACTGGCTGCGAGCTTCCTCAGACATGACAAGCTGCTTCTCAAGCGCTTCAATGCGACGAGCCTTCTCTTTTAGCTCGGCTATATGGTGGCACTTGGACGAGTAATTCCGAACTGTCTCTGGATGGCCGGACACGTTAAGTGGCACAGAGCGCTGCCGAAATGTGCCGATCCTATCATCTTCTCGCGCCCGCAACCTGTCTTGTATGCTTCCAGCAAACATGGCTGATCCCGACTCCGGACGGTCTGCGAGTGAGGCTTTGTGATGTGAAACTTGAGCCCGAGCACAACCATGCCCTCCGACCTTGCCATTCCGGCGCGGGTCACAAATATGCCTGGACTGCTAAGCTCTATTTTCCTCATCTTGTCTGCGTGTGAAAATGACAGACGCGGAACAAGAAGAGAAGGGTGAAACGCTTTGACAATGCTTTGCAACGCAACTCGGATGAGCTCGGCTAACGGTCTGAAGTTCTCATGTTGCTTGTCATGAAGAGCATGAAGCTCCGAAATTCCAGGGTGGCAACTGCGAGATTCAGCTGGCGCAGGACTCTTTCGTCATCCCAGCTTCAGTTTTTGCAGCTTTCGTTCAGTCTCCTGTGGCGCGTGTCAACCCTGTTTGTCAGAGCTTGGGTACAAGGGCTATGCCGGGAAACTATCCCGCCACTCGCAGCTCCTCCAGCCGCGACAGATTGGAGGCCATGCCCACTGCCTGGAGAGGATGCGTCAATCGAAGACCATGCCGGTGTCAAACACATGCACTGCATCCAGCCTCCAATTGCGCCAAAGTCTTGGCCATCGATGGTGGCCCCGGCATTCCGGCGTTTCCCCTGAGAAAGCATCGAGTAAAATTGAGCAAGAAAACAATATAAAGGTCTTGCTTTCATTCGCCTTACGTGTCATGGTTTCGAAGTGCGGCGCACATCTCAGAAGGGAATTGAGCTGGAGATGCTTCCTTTTCAAAGGGTACAGTACAGTATGTCGAGCCGGCAGCGCAAAGAAGTAGCTTGCTATTTCGGAGGCACAGGTCTGAAGCCTACAGTACCCCGTAACGAAGATGAGCTTCGAAGGTCATTGAGGTGTCATTCTGTCGCGAGGCCGTGGGAGCACGCGAGGCTGACTCTAGACGAAATCCCGCAAGCTCAGGCTGACATCTAATGCCACAAAGAACCAAGCCCCGCGAAACCGAAGAACCAGAGCGGAACGTGCATGCTAAGATTCCGAAAGAACTGAAAGCATCCTTCTGTTGAAGGAGAACAGATGCTTCCAGGAGTTCGAGGGCTTCGGAGTGGCGACGGGCTGGTGTTCCGAAGGAATCGCGCGGTTTGTTTGCTCTCTCCTGCCACCTCAAAGAGTATGCTTCGATTGAGGAATAGCTGTGCTGTTACATGTGTAAGGAACGCTCAATTCCGGGTTCTGCACGAGAAGAAGCAGCTCACTCTGCAGAAAGCCACTTGTACGTCACGACATGAGAGCTTTAAGTGCAGCGAACGGAACCAACGGAAGATGTTGCGTCGCGCTTTGCTGGGGGCCCGGCCACAGGACATCTGGATGGTGACTAACCGCATGTCTCGAGACCGCCTTGAAATGCAAGCACACGAAGCCACGCCGAGCTGACAGACAAATTGTCTCCAACATCACGACGTCCTTTGCTAGAGTGGGACATGGTTGAAGTCTGCCGGGTCCCGTAAGTATCGCTCAGTGCGATGCCGTTGGCAGATGAGGATTCAGCTCCGCGGCTTCCATCCTTGCAGGAAGAGCTACGAGGCTACGACAGGCGGTTCTCTGGGCGCAGGCGCCTCTGTGAAGAAGGCAGCTCCTGACCTCAGCAAAGACTTTTCCTTTCCGAGGAGAGCGTGGCTGAGCCATGCTGAGCCATGCCGAGCCGCTGAGCGCCCGGCCGTCCAAGCCAAATCTCTGCCGGTCTTCGAGAGAGAGGCTGCTCCTCGAAGAGCACAATGCGTCGCATCGCTCGCATGCGTAGACTTCGACGCATCCGACGCATCCGACGCCGAGAGCCCCGCCAGGCCGGAGCCTGGGCCGCCTCAGCCTCCCTTTCGGTCTCTGCCTCGACAGAGAGGACAGGACTCAAGGAACACACTCCGCGGGACTTTAAAGACCAGTCTTTGTCGGACGGGTTGCAGGTGTTGGAGGCTGCGATTGCCATGCCCACTCCCCTGGAAGCTCGCCGCTCCGCGCCTGCGTCAGGAGAGCTGGGCCTACGCCCATGCTTACACGGACTCGGCTTCTGCGATTCCATTCCAGTCCCTTCCCAAGCCGTATTCCCCCAGTTGTTCGGGCGGCCTGCGCATTCCTTGACGGCTTCACGGCTTCACAAAGCAACCCCGGCAACCTGGCCTGCGGGTTCTCCGCCACAGTGGGTTCGGATCTTCGGCTTTGCGACTGCAGTGAAGGCAGGCTTAGATGCACTGCAAAGAAATGCAAACCGAGCTTCATGCAACATCCGATCGACCGCAAATAAGTACTGCATGTCGTCAACGTCTTTTTTCTGCTTCTGCCGGCAATATGCAGATGCACGCCGTTGAAAAATCTGCTTGCCTTTGGCAAGAGACACTCTAAAAGAGCCATGTGTTGGTGTAATCCGATCCCCATGTAAACAGCACCGGCCCTTCGGCTACATCGACCTTGCCAGCCCTGCACTCAACTAGCCTGCCGCCGGACGGTCTCACTGAGGCATTCTTGAATTCGGGCAAAGTAGTTGTCCTTCCAAGAACGCCCTGCCATCCCCACTTTGCAAGCTCAAATCTCAACCTCCATGTGTTCGCCAACGGCGGTGGTTCCAGTACCAATCACTCGCCTGCGCAAAGCGGAGAGATGCTTGGGTTGGGACTTTGAGACCTGAGGGCGAAGTCTGTGCCTGAGCTCGGCCAGCTCTGCCTCATCAAAGGAGCTCCAAATGTCGCCTCACCGGCGCAGGGAAAATTGAGGGGAAGTCCGGGGAGATAAGCGCGACTTCTGACGAAGCACTTTGGAAGGAGAGCATCAAGGAGGAGCCGCCCTCCTGGCAGATCAAACAGAACAGTCGGAGTCGGCTGCCGGCTGCCGCCATTCCTCCTCTGTCTCGGACTTCGCTGCCTCGGCCTGGCGCCAGGCCGCTTCGGCGGTTGCAGATTCGAGCAGAGACGTCCTCGCGCCTCTTCGAGAGCGGCCTCCTGCAGCCCGGCCGTGCGACCGCGAACCTCTCACGGCGCTTTGCTCAAGGCACACGTCTGCCGAACACGCCCCCCTGGGTCGCGGACAATAAGTTCGCTTTTTTGTGGGTCCAGCTGCACACCGATTCCGGCATGGCGGAAGCCTGCAGGCTGGGACCAGGAACTATCCTGCGGTGGGCAGGATTGTGCAGAGAAGACAAGATGCGCACCCCAGAGACTTGTAGGCGGTACAGTCGGCACCACGTCGGATGTACTGAAGATGCGCCAGGCTCTTGGCACCTTTGCACTTGGAAATGTCGAAGGATTCCAAACGGACGAGAGCCGCCAAGCGCCCGAGAGATCCACGGATTCATCGTAAGCAGCCGCCACACGAGCGCTGCCAACTCGCGGTGCTCCAAATCTCAGGCGAAGCGCTCGGCCGGCAGAGAAGCATTTTCCGCTGCTAAGCCCCAGGCGTGCACGCGATGATCTCAGCGCCCCTGACAAGGACTGGACATTCCATATTCCCACAGCTTTCGACGGACTTCGGAAGCTGGCAGCCTGAGAGGAGTAGGCAGAATCTTCCCGACTTCACCTGCGCTGCCGAAGTCAGCGGGTAATCCGCCTGAGCTCGTAGGTTGCCGCCGGAAGATGCCAGAAACCGCTCCGAGTCCGCGGCGGATGGTGCGTGACACGTCGAGGGAAGCCAAGGTGGCCAAGGCGCCGCCTTGGCAGCGCGTCGCATCGCATCCCTCCCACCCAGCCAAGGCCCCCGGAGGCGGAAGGGGAGGGTTCCCCGCAGCCACTTCCTCCTTTTTGGGGGCCGGGCCAAGTGAATGCCCCGTGAAAATCACCTGCAAGAAAGCAACTCCGAACATCCACATGGACATGCTGGGAAATGCTGCTGCAGAACATCGCGGAACTATGAGGAACTGCAAAGTGCGAGCACCTCCCATCCTTCGCCATCTCCGAGACATCCCCTGGCTAAGACTGCGTGTAGAGCCTCCCGCACCTGAATGGCTGATCCATGCAGAGATGAGTCGGAGGAGCACAAAAACGGGACACGGTACCTTCCTTATGGGCAAGCTCCTTCCTAACAACTTTTATCCTGACCCGAGGCCTCGGCAAGATGTGAAACTTACAACGCCGGCTAACTGTAACTGAGCTGGCGTCGGAGTCATAGGCGCGAGAGAAGCCTTCATGCACCTTCCCGCAAGGAGCATTGAGACATCGCCGTGGGGCCCAGTCTATCATCCAACACAGGCATCATGCCAGCCTTGCCCAGGTCTCCGATCTCTCGAGGTATGGCCTATCGGACTTCGCCAGCGAGCAGGCAGCAGTTTGGGCTTCGGCCGCTCTAAGCTCAGGGCCGCAATGTCGGTGAGAACATCCCCAAAGTCGCAGGTGCCACGGAAGGCGACGACGATTCGCTTGCCGGCGAGGAGGCGCCAGACCTCCACAGCCGAAGTCTTCCATTGCTGGAAATGATAACGGCTTCATGAGTTCACGACCCAGCACTCGGTGTTAGTGCTGCCCGCTTCGAGATAGGCTAACCTCTTCGTCAAGCGCAAGGAAGACACTCCTACTACCCACGCGCCTTCTTCTTGCGTCTGCTGAGAGGCTGGCTGCTCGTAGTCGGCAAAAGACGTGCTACCAGCGGCCCCTTCAGAGAGGCACACTGCTGCTCTGGACACCACGCACCGTGGGCAGTGCCGAAGGCCTTCATCCATCACAGCCTGTTCGAGCATCCTCCAAGCTCCCTTGCGGACCGACCTGAGACGAGCAGACTAGCAAGCAGATGGTTGCCACTGGATGGAAATCCTGCAGAGTTCCGAACATGAGCTCCATCCCCTGCGCCAATCGGATCATGGCCTGCAGGAGACATCAAAGCAGTCCTAGGAGCCCTCAAGCCCGAAACTATCTCGGCCTGCTGCTTCGCCCGCTTCATAGCCACGTCCGCCTGATCTCTCAAAACGCTCAAGAAAGCCAAGGAGCGAGCCGAGATGTGGCAACGGCCTTCTGCCTCAAGGCCGCGCGGCCGTCTTCAGAGCTTGCTGCCTGCGCTCAGATCCACATCCGGGAATCTGTCAGGGTCTAGTTACGTGTCATGTCAAGTGTGGAAACCTCGCACCATTTGTGTGTTGCAACCGGTCATTCAGCAAGAAGCCTCCAGTCAGTGATCTTGTGTATGCATGCAATGTGGGAACTTCACCTTTCGTTATCCTTCTGTTATTGTCTGGAAGACTCGACAAATAGCTCTGATTAATGGAATATGTTACCACATAGCAGTGCTGATCGACTGCCTGCCAAACATCTTTGCGCTTCTCCATCGCACCGGCAAAGTCACCCTTCATCAACTCGTCGAATCCCGCAATCTCCCCAGCTCCAGACATGATGCCCGCACCCACTGCGGCAAAGAAGTCTCCTGCAACACAGGTGGTCACAGGTGGTTCAGGACAGCGTCTCACGGCAAAAACTACAACATGATCTGCAGCTTCTAGGCGACAAAGGAGCCCCGGCGCACATTAGTCTGCTCTGCCTTCGGCAAAACGTTCGTCCTGACAAAGTCTCTGCCGCAGTCGCGGCAGCACCCATGGCTCCCTCGAGCTGCGCCTCCAAACCACTTCAAGTTTCGAGCAGCACTGTCTTGGACGAATCCGAGGCACTGTTAGTCTGCCTTGCGGTCTGTGCCGAGGAAATTCTCAACCTCGCAGAAATTGATGACACCAGCAGATGAGCATCGGCCGACGCCAGGAGCGCAGCGGTGCTCCACCAACTTCCAGAGTCGTACACGGCTTTCTCGGCCGCTATGGACCTTCACCAGGTGCCCCCGTTTGGACTTGGTTCGGGTGCGAAGCGAGTTGATAAGTGTCTCACTTCTGCAGGCGTTTCTCCAGAGCTTCACGTCCTTTGCAAACCGCTGACAGGATGACAACACGATGCTACCATGCGCCTATTGACAGTGGGCTCCCTGAAGCTCAGTTAAGAAAGGCTCCTTCGCCAAGCCAGGGCAAACCTCTACCTCGAAGAGCGGCCTGCTACACTTACAGTGCTGCAGATTGCTGCAGGTCTCAGGGCTCACAGTGTCTCGCCTGCAGCTGATGCTCACTCAAGCGCTGAACGTCGGGCAGACGCACCTGCCACGTCTCTTCACGGCAGCTGCATTAACATTGATCCACGGTTCTCCATACCTCGGCCGGCACGTTGCTTCCGAACCTGTCAAAGCAAAACTCGAGATGACGGCAGCATGAAATGCTAAACTTGTGGTCTCGGCCTTTGTCGCCGTGCCCGGGCCTCCGAGACGTGCTTAAGCATCGGAAACTAAGCACACGGTCAAGGAGCAATTGACGGAACGCCTCAGGCGTGACGTCATCGAGCTGCTCATCGGCACCGGTGCTGTTGGCGGAATCCTGAACCGAAGCTCCGCACAGTGAGCTCTCAGGGGGCGCGTGTGCGTGCGGGGTCCTTGAGGATCCCTCACAAGTCAGAGGCATCACAGCTTTTACACTGCCGTTGTTCTCGTATTTCGCGGTCTGCTCGGTTTTTGAACAGTTGCAGTCACAGCCGGACTTTCGACAAAGGCTTACCCGCTGCGGTTGCTCGAAAAGACCTTCCTGAACAAGCCTTGCTGGCCGCAACTTACATGGTACAGCTACACTGTCTCATGCAAATGTCGAAAACAAGGGATGTGCCGTAAATGCTTGAGGCACAAATAAACCCCAAGAGGCGCATGAAGACCCACCTCAAGCAGATCGAAGGCATCGTACTCGAGCTGCAGCCGCACGCGGGACGGAGGCCGTTCCTTCCCGTCTTCCTGGAAGTAGCTCCACTGGAAGCACCACAGGGCTCAAGCAGGCATGTTCATGGAATGACACTGGACTGGCTAGGAATCCTCTACATCCTTCCTGAGGTCCTTCGGCAGCTCGAGTTCCACCTGAGAATTCCAACACTAGGCTGCCGCTGAGCATGCATCGATCTATTCTGAGGCATGGTACGCATAATTCTTTGAGCTTCTTCGACGCTGACCAGTCGGACATAGGAATGGATGCCCGGCCTGTCACAGGCGAAGGCAAAACATAACATCAAGCAGAAACTTTGGGGTACGAACTTATCAATCGCAGGGCGTTGATTGCCTAATCGTCGGTGCATGCAGTTCGTCGGGTCTCGGCCGGGGATTGCAATCTGCACAACAACATCATCTGCGGCCCTTGTCATTGTTTAAACATGTCGAAGCAGTCGACACCTGGTCTTCAATGAGTTAACTGGGCCAGTCTCTGTCATCCTGATAGAACTCGGTATCAATCCATGTACCAACCGGACGGACAAAGTGGCGGCCGTCACAAGCGAGGCGCACTTCGCCATTGCTTCGGAAGGGCCGTGGGAGTTGGGAGTTTACATACCGTCTGCAAGATATCTCCGGCCTATCACGGCAATGGTGCTGTTATCCAGCAGGCTGCGGGTGTGCACCTGTCACAGAGGATTTTTCAGCTTCGCTTGATTTCGTTTGGCCTGTTTCAACGAGGGCAGGGCCTCCACATGCAGGCAAGGGTCCTCTTTGCTGTCCTCCGCTCAGATGACGGATTTCGCCAGATCACATGGATTCAAGTCTGGTGACGCCTCTTCAGTCTCGCACTGAGACCCGGCAAACGCACCTCAGGCTGAGCATCAACTCCAAATTTACGCGGGAGGCTTGAGCAAATTACGAGACACCTGCAAGCACGCCATCGGAGAGCAACGTGCAGATGCAGAGAAGAGGCAGATTTCTTTACAAAATCGTCTTACTTGTGTATTCCGGTTTTGAGAAGTACTTCGGACAGCTGAGCCTGAGTCACCGACCTTTCGGCACATAAAGAAAAACCGAGTCGTCCTGCAATGTGCGTGCAGAGGGACACACATATGCACCCACGTCTATGCGTCCACATCCACATCGCAGTGTGACTAGTTGGCCACGGCAACTGGAGGAAAGGTAAGCGACATAATCACCATGTTCAGATGATCCCAACACACACACACACACACACGCGCGCGCGCATACACACAGTGGATCTTGACAGAGAGAGGTCTTACCGTGCAGATCTGTGCACGACGTTGCCATCTAGGAGCCCAGGATTGCCTCATCCAGCCACTGAGCTAGACCACTGAGAACTCCGCGTCTTACCCGGTTTCGCTGAAAGCCTTCAGATGGAGGGCGACATCGGGCAGCATCGTCTGGATAGTTTATCAGTTTATGCATCCGCTGTGAGGTACCTCGCAGACCACCAGCTGATGAACCAGAAGTTGTGCGAAAGAAAACCTGGCACCAGGCTTGGTACCAGTAGCCAGGATTTGGAGCATGCGCAGCTGAAGCGAGAATGGACTGCCGTGACCGCCCCGGCCATCGCCACGTTGCGCAGGCCTGCTTTGAGCACGAGAGCAGAGTCGATGCTTTGCCCGAGCCGCAGAGACGAAATGACTTGGCCAATTTTGCGACTCATTGCAATGCGAATCTTCGTTTCAGGACAGACTGAGACTCTTCCGGTGCCACAGAAAATTCCCTGCGCGCCTTCTGCACTTAACACTCGAACACGCAGAATCCCGCTGAAGGCATCGCGGACGAAACGAGTGGACAGGAGCACGACCTGCTCCACCATTGAAAGAGAATCGCTTGGGGAAGAATGCATGAACGGCGAGACTGCCTGCACCCCCTCCAAGCCGGTGCGGGTGCTGTCACCGGCGGACACCCAAACCTGAATGCTCAGGCTTTGCTCGTGGCGTTGCCGAAGTACGAGAGAGTGTGTAATTAAGCGAGAACAGGCCACCCCTTGTGCACGGTCGATCTCCGTGTACGAATCGAAGGAAAATCCGGCCATGACCTCGCGATTAGCAACAAAACATGCACAAAGACCACTCTTGTCCTTAATCGATTTGCCATGCCCCTGGCCATGCAGAGGTTCAAGTCTGGGAAATCGACGGGCGCATCCTATGAGTTGAAGGTGATTCTCAAAGCGCTCCAGCAGCAGCAGGATCACTGCTACTTCGCACAAGACCGGCCTGCCCTGATCCGTCGGATTCCCAGTCAGAGGCAGCGGCGGCTAAGGCGATGACCCGAAAGCCTTCAGACTTTGCGCGCAGCAAGAAGGCAGAAGGGCGGGTGCAGCGGGCGCTCCTCGCAACGACCTCCTGCGGCTCGGGAGGCCTAAACCCAAACCTCGTGCTGCCGTCAGCGCGGCGGCCTTGGCAAAAGCTGGAGTCGAGTGTTGGTTGCAACTCGTGGCCTCAAGCCCAGGCCCCAGACAGCCAGAATCCCTGGTTTCCCAATTCCTGCCTCGTCACAACATCTCCGCACTCACTATAACTAACATAAGCCAAGAAGAGCTGGGCTCCAGGCAAGGCTCGGATGTGCTTGCAACTTTGGCAGCACATGGACCGGACTCACAGAAGCCTCGACTGTGGCCGATTGTTGCCAGCGATTTGATCAGCTGATAAACAACTCTTGCCAGGCTGCCTGTGAGCGCAGACCAGGGGTGAGCGGGCCATACATAGTCCACTCAAGCTACAAATATAATGATGCTGTTGTTCTACACATTGTCAGATCTCCGAACGTCGTCTGCACCACTTGAGTAGGCTGGGCTCTGGCCCTGTAGGTGCTTCGAGAAGATGCCAAATGGCTTGCAGCAGGCACCGCAGTGGAACTGCACCAGCAAAACTTGTCAAGACGCGATCTGACTTGAAACTGAAGCCCCTGCCTGTACTTCAGAGGCCGAGGGAGGAGGAGTGGGAATCGCTTCGGATGGAGGAGGCGTAACTTCCAACCCGAATCGTCTCCGGTCCTGCACTGAAAGGAATCATGGACGAACCGACCTCTCCTGCTACCTTCGAGCAGCTCGATTCGCAAGCAGCGCGACAAAACGGAGACAGGAAAGAATCCAGTAGCAGAAAAGCATGACTCAGGAAGATGCAACAAGCCAAGCTGATTTTGACACAGGATTGAGAGTACAGGGTGTGGGTCCGAGCGACAACTGAATACAATTTCAGCGCCAGCACAACCCTGCTTCTGACCCGCCATCTCATTGCGATGCTTGTGGAAGGGAGGGAAGACAGTGCAAACTTCGACGCCGCGAGATTCAAACCAGCAGCTGCATGCCATCCTCGAATGACAACGTCGAGGCGTGCACTGGACCACCTCAGATCCGAGGGAAGCCAATTGATGTCACTGTGTCTCTGCGCCCGAACCTTAACATAGTCGGATAGTTTGAAATCGCGCACGCTTGTGTTCGCCTAGCCGTCCTGGCAATGAGGTCATCCTTTAACTCCAGATATGGAAGACAGAAAGGCAAGAATTCCTCTGGACCCCAAATCCAGAACTCCAGCGAATCTGAGGTTGTGGCCATCAAAGGCCTGTGCTCCTCGTAACCCAGGGCCAATGCAACTATTCGTGAGCCTTGCAAACCTGCTGAAAAGCGCGGTCCTTCCCCGTCGTCGCCCACATGGCCAGCCTGCCAGGTGCGAGGAGAGAGGCCACGCTTTGTTTCTTGCAAGGTGCGCCTGCGTCTGCTCCAGGTGGTCTCCTGAGATCCCAACAACGATGCAGCAGGGTCCACGCTCTTGGAACTGGCCTGGGCCTTGAGCCATGCTCTCGATCCTCACCGAATGCGATGCGATGCGAGCATATGCGAGCAACTGGGCAGCTCCCGACTGCTTGAAGGGCAGCGCTGAGGGACGAACGCCTGGACTTGTCGCTGCAGGCGCAGCAGGTGTACTGCCTGCCATCCATTGGCCATTCAAAGCTCCGACTTCCTAGCTGCTTAGCTGGCGTCTGCCGTGGCGCACGTGGTGCTATCAGAGCAACATGACATGAGCAACAGAGTTACAAGATGGTGCTCTTAGACAACAGCCACTTTTTACCGAGCGTCCTGGAACCGTTTCAAACCGAAGTTCGCGAAGCAGCCGGCCTGCTCGCGGGCAATTTCAGCAGCCTGAGTCATCGCGGCGACCTTGGACCCAGTGGCATCATCGGCATCTCACACTGAGCGAGCAGGCATCCCTACCTCTTTCCGCTTGATTTCCAAATACTCGAAGAGATCATCATCCGCCTCGAGGCCTGCAAGAGAGGATGCCAAGTGCCCAAACGATCGTTCAGTGGCCGAGCCTGTGCCTGACTCTTCGGTTCTGGAGGTGGCACCAGCATCGTCTGCCATGGCCGAAATGTCCCGATGTTGCACGGACTGCCTCTCCTCTGTGTTCCCTGCTCCTTGACATAGATGGGCTGAGCAAGTGACGGAAGTTACTCGCATGAAGGAGGCTTGAATTCTTGCGCTGACAGGCAAGCTGACAGCATGGCTGATCTCTGGTGGCCACTAAACTCCCGAGACGGGTCTTTACCTCCATGATCTCGCAACAGCTCGTCGGAAAGCTGCGGATTGTCGGACTGCTGGCACGTGCGCCTTTCTGGAATGCAGTCTGCAGCCTCCCACCACAAACCGCCCCTTCCATGTCTCAACGAGCAAGACCGGCCGAAAGCAGAACGAGTTGTGTACAAGCTGCTAATTGCTCAGTTTCGCAGCCCATGTGTCAACAGAAGCTAGAAAGGAAGCACACGCTGTATCCTAAGTCCCTTCCAGTCTGGATGCTGGCACGTCCAAAACTCCAACCTTGTATCGTTTCTTTGCTTCGCAATGATGAAGCCTCAGAGTCTGTCCGATGTTCATCTTCTGGTTGATCGCCATGTTCGGCCCCAGAACCAGAAGGCTCGAACCCTGTACATGGATTCTCGGAAAATCACGGACAATGCCATCCCTCACTGTACTTGCTACACAGCCCACGCGTTGCGACAAATGCACGCGTGTCGAAAGCTACGGGTCTTTGCCCTCCTGGCCACGTTGAGCCATCACTCAATATCGCTGTACCCATCAACAACCTCGTTTGGAAAGTCCAGTCTTGTACCATCTGCAAAGACGCAGGTGATCGTCCTTGGTCCAGCAACAACACCGAAGGCAAGCTGTGATCATAACATGAAAGACCCCACTGGAACCCACTGGCTGCATATTGAGGACCCCTAACAAGCATGTTCCCTTCTCCAACAGGGTCACGTCGACCGGAAGAGGACGTACACACACTGCAAGGTAGTTCTCGCACGATGTGCGAGAAGATCTAAAGCCCTAAGATCTGCATGCGAGCAACCTGTCGTTGTAGGCTTTTTCAATGATGCACTCCTGACGACCCGTGACGTCACATAGCAAAATAATGAGGCGCGAGAGCATAACTGCAAGAGGGCCTGCCCCCGGCGCGAGGCCTTTTCCGGCGTATAGCCGTTGAGGGACTGAGCCTCACGAACCGCTTCACTTTGATATCCAGGTCTTAGCTCTGAAGCTGGCTGGCACTTGTTTTGGTGTAAGCCAGGGGCGGGGAATCGCCCAAATGCTGCTCGAAAGGCTTTGTCGTTCTGGCGCAGAATGCATACGTTGTTGAGTTAGGACCCAAAAAAGGCCAGGCTCCTCAAGCAATCGCACCCGTTCTCCAGGCAGAATGAAGGCGCCACCTAATGCGGGAATCAACGTACTGACATCTCAGGAGCAGCTCTCGGGCAGCTTTTTTGTGAGGACGTCTTGCTAAAACCAATTTGAGAGATCCATGGCGCTGGCACTGGAGCCTTAAGGCTGGCAGCACCGGCATAAAAGTCCCGCACGTGTCAGCTTCTTATCGAAGCAACACAGCAGCTTCACGTCAAAAACTTCGCTGCTTCAGGCACTTCAAATGCCCTGCTTTGCACAGCTAAGCTGCACCTGTTCAAAGGATCTTGCATGGCGGGAGGCCACGGCCACCCTAAGCAAGTGAGCCTTGGCTCCAGCCTGGGCTATCCTCGGTCTCGAACATGAGTGGCACCAGATTCTGGTGCTTGATTCAGAAAAGATTAGCTGTCCGTGGAAACTTCCAGCCAGCAGCCAGAATCACCTTGACGACAACAAAAGGTCAGTCTCGATGTCTTTATTTCGCCACGCCAACAATTCTGACGGGTCACGCTCCTTGGGCAACTCGACCTGCTTCTCGCTCCAAGCACTCCCGCACCTCACGTCACGACTCATTCACATCCCTGGAGGTGCAACACCGCTCCAGGGACCGGGCATGGCTTTCGAAGCGCTCGGGATTCGCACCCGTCCACTGTTCAATGAGCTCTCCACCGGCTTCGCCACGCCGGAACATGAAGAAGGCAGGGGACACCTCGACAACAGTCCACCAAATCCGAGGACAGCAGATGCGAGAGAGGTCCCTTTACCGGACACGCCTTCACGCCCAGCTCTTTCGTGGAGAACTCCATTGCGCCAATTGTGCCATTTCCCACGAGCTCAACGAAGCGAATGTCACGGAACCTCGCTGAGCAAAACAACGTCACAAGTGCTACGCGAGCGTCAGCTTGGCCTCCTGAGCTTCGCCCTAGACACTGCAAGATGATCTTGAGCTATAAAAAGCATACGAGCAGCTCTTCCGAGTACTTTCGCCACTTGGGTTCAAAGGCACGGCAGCTCCGGCAAAAGGTGAAGGTCACCTAAGAACATGGCGTCGACGGACGCACAGTTCGATCTCTACTTGGCATCTTCAACCCTTCGTGGCCTTCAGGAGCACCAGCTGCCCGAGGTTCAATGGCGGATTGACCTCTGCGTGACCCCTCTGAGGGGGTGAGCAGATCTCTCTTTAGCTATTGAGAGCTTGGCATTCGTGATGATGCTTTGCCATGCCTTTGCGCTGGTAGTAACGACGCACCTGGCCTGCAGGATCATGCAGCATGCATGCAGTGCAGAACACAAACTGTCAGAGGAGCGCCTCCATGACGTGTTTCCGCCACCATGCCAAGAATTCGTTGAAGGACACTTCGCCATCGCGGGTGGTGTCGAGCTCCTCTACGAGCCTTAGAAGGGCATCATTAGGAGCCCGCTGAAGGCACAGCATCTGCCGGCTGCCGGTTAAGGCGCTTCTCCAACTCGCGTTCCAGTCCCAAAAGCGCCAAAGCTCTCTGCAGCTCCTCGAAAGGATCCAATGCCACTGCGGCTCTGCGTTTCGTCTGCTCTTCGCGTCTGCTCTTCGCTTGCGATCCAAGACTCATCAGGCTGAAGCCGTCTGTCTCCGTCCTCAGACACCCCAGAATGCCCCCATGCTCTCTCCAGCTTCTGCAACCAGGTTGCCACATCCATTTGATCAAAAATGGCCTTGTGTTGTGGCAGCACAGGTCTGCGTGCAGCGGTGCAGAACCCCTGACATGTCTCAGCCTGAGAGTCTAAACCTCAAAATCCATGCATCGCGCTCGCTTCGCCCTGGGGCCTCCAGCTGCACCTCCGACAGATGCTGCAAAATCTTGGAGTCATTCAGGACACCGTCCAAGGCTCGCCTCGCCTGTTGCGCAACATCGACTGGCTCTTCACACGACATCAACCCCGGGAATGCATGCTTGTGTCATGTGTGCCTGGCTGATCTGCAGTTCGAAGATGGCATCCAGGGCCATGCCACGCACAATGTTGACCTCCTCCTCTGCGGTGGCCACGACCATGTCTGCACCCCTGGCAGGGGCATCCAAGCTTGCTTCCCAGCACTTAAAGCATTCCGGCGTCCGATCACCACTCCACTCCGACAAGTCAACAAGGCACAGGGTGACAGGGTTGCTTGAGCGAATAAACTACTTTCCGGATGCCTACATCTTCAACTCACGAAACGAGCAGCAGAACCACAATGAGTTGCGCACTCTGCAACAGTGGTTGCTGGGCATGTTGCCTCTCGGCTGCCAACTCCTTCGTCTTTGCAAGGCATTCCGGCTTCATCAGTGCCTTCAACGGAAAAGTAAATTAGTACATGCATCTAAGACGTCTCGATGAGAGCAAACATGCAGTGTGCCTGAGAGATGGCTCGGTCGGTGCTCGCGATCCTCCCTGTTGGCACAAGGACCACCCGGTCCAATCCTAAGATCATGCGCACGGGACACAGGGCCGGCAGGCTGCCCTTGCATCTCTCCTGTGGGAACAGCTCCGGTGATTTCTGCGAGATAGTCGTCCAACAGTGATGCCCACTCGTCAAACGAATCGGATCCTGAATGGATGCAGGTCAGCTTGCAAATCTTGGCGTGTTCACTTAATATTCAGCGTCGGGGAGCTGATCTCACGAATTAACACAAAAATCCTCGCCTGGCGATGGAGGTACGAACTTGTATTCGCCTGCATCCTGGGCCATAAGGTTCATGTCAGGAGCCAGACATGTTTTGACTTCTTCAGTCACCAAGGCATACATTGCGATTTAAGGCGCACTGGGCAAGCTGGCCTGACGACTCCTTAGACCGTTGACATGCTCCATGCAAGCTCGTCTCCAGAATCGGTTCTGCGAGACTGAGGATATGCAAACTTTTTCAGGCCGCTGACAAAAGCAAAAGTGGCCGGCCCGTTCGGTAGAAGCAGCCAAGTGACGAGGTGTAGAGCTCGTTCAGCGGGGAGTTCCGCACCCTGCGGCCATCATTGAAGAGTACTGCACCGATGTTCCTGCCCAGCGTAATGACCTCAAAAAGGGGTGGAGCGATTGCTTGGACAAGTGAAGCGGCGTTCGAGGCATCCACCAGGATGGTCTTCTTTCCTGAGAGTGAGAGGGAATGAGGCCACCCGCTGACAGCATCACGCTTCCACTGCATCGGAGCAGCGCCAAACGTCTGTAGCTCTGCTGTCGCCCCAGACTAGCTCGTTGTATCCTGCGAGAATCTGCGAAGCAACGTTTGTCTCTAAGCCGATGGCATTCGCTCGGGTCCTGCTCCCACAGTGTGGATTTCCACATGGAAGAACGCCACCTGTCCTCGTTTGTTCAGTCCCCGCCGCAGCAGTTCTTGAACCTTGGCTTTCCGACAGCTGAGGCCTCGCTATGCGGAGACCAATGACCAAGCAAGCGCGTCTTGCAGCGAAGCCACTTTTGCTCTGCGAGTCTGATAATCTCCATCATTATCCTGACGACACTGTCTCTCAAAAGTTTCTGAAAACCCTGACACCTACGGCCTCGGTCAGGTTTTCCATCAGCGCCTGGCCAAAGTCTAGTCTAGACAGAGGACGAGGGAACTCCACATCTCAGTTCTGCCCGACCTTGGTGACGGAGCAGCCGATAACCTTGTTCCATCCAAAGTGCTTTCTGAGCTTCTGCAAAGTTCCTGTCAACACCCGAGCCCTGGTGTACCGTTGAC